ATCTAAGGGCGTTTTCTATGTCTTTCTCACTTCATCTTTTCCTTCTCATAAGAGAAGTGCCGAGGCAATGCCGCATGGTTTTGGCATGTCGATGTGGTACTGATCAGTGCCGCACTCTAATACAAAATTCAGCATAAACAACCATAATAAAGAACTAATTAAATTGATTAAATAAATTATCAATGCGTTAAGTATTTCAACCGGGATTTTTGCGGAAAAGTTCGAAAAAAATAGAAGTTGAAAAATGAAGAGCTACTTACAACAAAGCGATCTTACACCGAGGATACTCACAATTGTTATAAAAACAGCAACCTTTGATGCATTTCTCACTTCTGTGCATTTTTATTTTGAGATATTTGCACAGTGAACTCGATTGAGAGAAAGAACATAGAAAACGCCCTTAGATATAGCACATTTTTTGAGAAAGAAGACTTTTTTAATCTACACAAAATGTCTGAAGAAACAAAATATATATTTATTTTCTCTCACTTACTGGAACTGCTGTGTACTTTGCAAATTAGTTAATTCAGTTAAGTTGCCCAAAAATCCTGAGACACGCATCAACCAAGTCAGCTTTTGATGCTGATTCCAAATATGACATTGGTTTGGCAAAAAATGATAAGTTGAAGGTGAAAACTGCAAAATACAAGTGTCTTGTTTTTTGCTACCTGTTTCAAGAAAATTAATTTTCTCAGCAACGGAACAATATTTTTCAAAACCAATACTAATTTTTTTCCCCACAAGTGTGATGACTTAAATAAAGAAAAAAAAACTTGCCTAACTGCTAACCAAAAAGTCTAGATAGGCTTACAAGAAGTTCGGGTGGGGTTCCAGCCGTTCTGCCAGGTCTTCAGTGATTTCAGTCGGCCAATCAGGTTCTAAAAGTATCTGAATTACTTTTTATATTCAATTTTGTATGTAAAATCAGGAAAAAATAGTACGAAAATTTTAAAAAGACAATAAACCCTCAAATTTTGCTTTTTCTTGAAAATTTTGCTGAATTTTGCTCATTTTTAAAAAATCAATATTTCAAAATTTTTTAAATGAAAAAAGACTTTCAAAACTCCACTTTTCAGTTTTTTCTAGGTAACTCGATGAGCTCTATCTAATGATCAAAAAAGAAAATTGAAAAAAAAATTTTGCTTATCTTTTGAATTGCCGGCACCTTACATTCTCTGAAAGTTTAAGCGTGAATGTTTTCTTCACATACGGCAAACGTTACCTTATCGGTAATATTCACCAGGGAACCATAAAACGGCAATCGCTCTCGTTTTTATTTTGAGATCAAATACCAGTTATATGTCGAACTGTAATTGAAAAATACATCAGAGAACTTAGAGAAGTCTTAGACTGAAGCTGTTTTAGAAATAACAATCAAAATTTTCCTAAAGTAACACCGTTATCATAATTTCTATGGCGCGTTAAGAAGAATTATAGAAAACGAGAGCGCGTTTACAAATAAAATTGCTGTGTACTTATCTTAAGCTCAACCTCGAAGAGAGTCTGAGATGAATGATTCACCTTGATTGCAGTATGTTCCCGAAGAGAAAACCGGATAAAACATGGTGAAATCAGTAGATTTCGAGGTCCTTTTAAAGCTTCTAACAGTGCTCACAATTACAGATACATGAAAAAAACAAAATCGATGCAGGAAAACAATTGAAAATCAGGAGAAAATCTTAAAAATTAGCTCTTGAAATCAGGAGTCTCCTGGTCAAATCCGGAGATTTGGGCACTCTGTGTACAAGTCTTAAAAATGCATTTTGTCAAACAAATAATTGTTTTGTACGATGCATGTTAGACGTAAGCAATTCTAGGTAAATAGACTAATAGGCTTATAGCAACGAATGTAAATGATAAAACTTTGGTCAAAAAAGTTACGTTTTACCTTTACCATCCTTTTTTTATCAGCTGCGTCAGAACAGAAAAGGATTCTGTTCTGGCGCAACTGATAAAAAAAAGATTTTAAAGGTAAAATGTAACTTTTTGACCAAAGTTTTATTACATTTGTTGGTATAGGCCTAATATCAAGTGGTGGTTGTTTCATATACATGATGCTCTTACCGATTTGGACGAAGAAGAAAAATGTTTATCACAATACAAAAAGAAGCATAAAACAAAATAGAACATATTATTTGTTTAAGTATTAAGTAAAGTGGCTACAGCATTGGACGACGGACAGTTTGTTTCATGCGTATATAAAGTATCAAAAAATAACCGTATATTCGTTTGTAAAACAGCCCACATTAGTCATGACTACACAGTGCACAGAAAGGACAAAAAATTAATACAACACAGTAGAAGGAATTGTAACACTGCTATCACTTCTAATTTTGTAATATTCATAGTTGAATAGATAATTGAGTAATTACGAAGTGTGAATACTTGAAGCACTGGAAAATTCATAGTCTGTTGTGTGACATAGTAAGATCTCGTTAATTTATCCAGAAAATCGAACTGTAAAACATAAAGTTCAAACAATTCGTTAGCTGCATTGAAAATTTCTAGACACAACTACATCTTAATTATAGTAAAAAAGCATAACAATATGACTCTGTTTTTCGTATAACTGGGCATTTTGGCGTACTTCAAATTATTTACACTGTATATTTAGTGCAATTTGAATGTTTTCTTAAATCTACTATACAATAGTATCAGAATGTAGAACGACACAACGTTTTATGACAAACGTAGAAGAACTCCTATTTGAATATGTAGCTGCCGTCTGCATTGAAGAGCCAAATAAAAGGTTATTCTACTATTCCATTCTTTTATTGAATAGTTTGTTAGAAGGTCAAGTATATTTCTCTTTATTCGGTAGTGGGTCCACACCGTATTTTTTTCAGCATGGTGTAGGATAAAAGGTCATTTAATATATATCCTCTTTTCTTTTTGAATGAGGCTATGTATTTTGTTCTTTTCATGTTAACATTTAATACTGTATAGATGAAAATGGTGCATGAAAACATGTGTTTGTGCATGTAGATAAAAATGAATGCTAAAATTAAATATGTAATCCTGTTATTTGTATAAATTAAATATCCTATGCATTATAACCCATCAGCCGTTGTACGCTCGGATATCTCATTCGTATTGACATTGATTTTTGTTGATCTATATATAGACTATTCTTTTTCATTTCAATTTCTTTCACTAATATTTGATGATCATCACGTAATTTTTTTAAATTGCTTTCAGCTTCACGTAATTGACCCGTTAAAGCATCGACAGATTGTGACATTTGTAATACTTCACCAACCAAACTAAAAGAGAAAATTATTAACCGATTATAGCAAATAAACCGAAATTGATTCAAAATATAAACCACAAGACCTTGGTCGTACACTAAGAGTTGCAGTATGGCTAGTCAGTGGTCCAGATATACTTACTGGTCTTGAGCAGGATCATGGCAACTCTCAATACCGGGACGGGCACGACGATCATTCAATCGAGTTTGTGCCACTTTTAAAGGAGCTTCTTTGGAACGTATGGATGCGCTTAATTCGTCAATTTTTTTTTCTACTTGGGCAATTGCTTTTAGAGTCTAAAACTGACGAAGATGGAGAGAAATTTCACCACATAACATCAACAAACCTCTCTCATATTGTATGTCATTTTTTGCATAGCATCACTCATTTCTGCAATTCGACGTGCAAATTCTGTCTCAATAATATCTGCTTGTTCGCGCATATCTCTTGAAATATCAGCTAGTACACTATCGATCAATGCTCGTAATTGAATTGATGCCATAAGTTGATTTTGAGCATTCACAATATTATCGTGAGAGTTTTGTGCCCATGATTCTGGCGTCGATTGACTAAATAAAAATAAACAAAATGGTAGAGATATATCTAACGCATGAAGTTAAAGTAAAGGGCACTCACTTATCATAGTGTCTAGCTACCCCAGGATAATACATAATGTCGACATCTTCATTACGACGATTAGTGGCTTTTGCATCAGCAACTGAGGCTTCATATTTATTACTCCAATCCATTTCAAGATTTTGTTTAGCATTACGATTCGCTCTACAAAACAATAATTCTCATTAGACTGTATATATTATTTAGTGACTACACGGACCTAATTTGTTGTTCAGCAGTCATTATTGTTTGACGAAGTAAATTTTGTACATTATTGATGACTTCAACTTCCTGAACGGTAAACATGATCAACTTATGTTGCTATTTCCGCAGTGAATATTGTACACACTTTTAATAGAGCAACTTCAACGGGATCATAGACACGGTCTTCTCCGTATCGTCGATTTCGATTTGCTAAACATTCACTAGCAATATGAAGTGGTGCTTCTGTGGCGTCTAACGAATTTGTTAAACGTTTTTTTTGCGCTATCAATAGATCAGTTTCGTTTCGAACATCTTCAATCATTCGGTTTAACTCAAATTTCCAAAAATTAATATCATGTAAACTAAAAAGCAACAGAACAGCAACAATTATAACCATATTCTTCAATAGCACACCGTTGTTGTAATTTTTTTGTTGATATGGCTTGAGTTTGATTTGTCAATGCAACTGTTTCATGTTCTGTTCGAGTTGCTTCCCATCTTGCTTTTTCGGATGTATCACGATCTGTGAATGTTTGATAGTATTTTGAATAATTATTATCATGCCATTCTGGAATATTGTATTTATTTGATCGAAAACCAATGGTCGAAACGCCAATGTTAGAACCTGTTTGCCCACGATAAGATGGATCAAACTCATATTTTTCTGTTGATAGCATGCTTGAAAAATCGCTACAAAAAGCATCGGGTAACAAATATGAGCACAAAAAGACTAAACATATTTTAGATTTCCAACTCGTAAGCTGAAACTCTGTTGAAATGAAAGACTCAGCGTCAGATCTATAAATATTAAATCTTTTAAAGATCAAAGCTCTAAAGTTTTCACGTAGACATAATTTTAGCTGTATAAAGTGGAACAGATCCTATGGAATTACCTTATTAGAGTGTGTGTACTGTTCTCTCTTCACGTATTCTTAAAATAACATGTACTTATTCGATGTTCCAACTAGAGAAAGCAGATACTTCTGTATAAGCTGGTTACAACTTTAGCATTAATAGTAACCTGCAGCATCAGTGTTGCTTAGAGATGATTAAATGGTATTTCTTAATACCTAAAAGTTTACTAAGAAACAATATCCATACAAAACAAGAAATAAAAAGAAATACTTTTTACATATTGATTTCTCAGCAGATCTACAACTAAAACTTAAGATGACTTTATAACTAAGGAGGCAGATGGCGACAGCAGTCTGAAACCAAATTACATAGTAGGATACTTCCGCACAGGTCCTGCAAGTATTACATGAGCTAAAAGCCCGGAAGGTTTGACTATATGCAATCGATAGTCCTACTAAAGGTATGTAAAGACCCCTTTCGCCCCATGGAAAAATTATTCCGAACACGGTTTTTCCCCAGCCATAAGTTCTGAATTGAAGCGTTTTTAGGGGTGCCAGAACAGCGAAATCCAGCCTTACCTGATACTAACAAACGTTCTCATATTGCCAACTGGAAAGAGCATACAAAGTTACATATTTCGATCCGCAAATGAGAGTTTCTCCTCTGACATTCCGAACGAATTTTTGACTAGAGGATCTTATCTGCATTAGCAGATATTACTCGTTTTATAGCGTGTTGAACGAGCTCAAAATCTAACAAAACTTAACTTTATTTATATTCAACTGAAAGCGGCTTCAAAGTTTCGTCGTATCAGGCAACAATGAAGTCTCTAGCACTTTTTACTTCTTCATGATAAGCGTAGCCCCGGGACCTACTTTGACCCGTCCTGGCCTCTTCCCTCGAAAACTACACATCAGTTCTTCGAGATCTTGTTAGCCCACACACTACTCCACTAGTGCTACAAAACTCGGAAGATATTGACTTTGACCAGGTAGTTTTTTCAAAAGCGTATTTTGAAAAACCGAAAGGGTTTAGAAAGAACAGTTCTAAGTTCAAAATGGTTTAGTATCTACTTTACAAAATCCAAAAGGATTTAATAACCAAACATTCACTACAAAATTTTTCCTAAACCGAAAAAGACGTATTTAAAAACAGAAAGGGGTTTTCTATTTGACGAAAAAAACTAAAAAGCGTTTTTTAGAAGGAGTCGAAGAATTTTCTAGCTTTGGCAAAAATCTAAAGGTTGTTTTTAGAAGAGTTAATCATACACTTTATATTTCGAAACATTTCGCCACAGTATTATCATTTCAGAAAGCCCTCTCCTCTGCTTCTTCAAAATGTCCTCGAGGCGAAACATTTTGAGTGTTATTTCTAAAACAGCTTCAATCTCAGGCTTCTCTAAGTTCTCCCATGTACTTCTCAATTAGGGTTTCACATATAACTGGCGTTTGTTCTCAAAATAAAAGTGAGAGCGGTTGATGTTTTATGGTTCGCGTGTGTGAGTATTACCGTTAAGCTAACGCTTGCCGTATTTGAAGAAAATATTCACGCTTGGACCAAACTGATCTTTGCTACATCGTGAGAGCCGCCCCCCCTCACCCTCACCCTCTCCTAAACGCTTTTTTATGTAAACTCCTAAATCCTTATTCGTTCTGTATGGTTTCATTTTCCTAAACTCTTTAAAGTTTTTTAAACTACGCTTTTTTTTAGAGTGTATGTGACACTCGATTGACCCCTTTTAGTTTATAACATAATAACTCCTTCTATTTATTGCCATAATACATAATCGGCATACTTTTACTTTTTATTTTTTAAATAAGAAAAAATATTATAATTACTGTATTTATATAGAAAAGGTTTAAATTCTTTAGAAAGTATCTGTATATGCACTGCATGAAACTCTACTAATTCTTTCACTTTTTCCTTTCAAAAGAATTAGCATCACATAGAATTCAATAAAGATGACTATCCGCTTTGTATCCCAAATATTCGTTCCATGTCTGAATCTTTCTAAAACGCGAAGTGTTGTCACTTGGGCCATCATAAAAACTGATATTATTGCCATATTTCTTAGTAATTAATTTTACTGTTTTTTGATCATCTAATGCGGTTAATCGATTTTCTCTTCGAGCAATAGTTTGTATTTGATCAGTTTCTAATGAAAAACGTGTTAAAACGGTATGAACAACAAAATCATTAATTGATTTTAAAGATTGTTGATTGATAAAGGTTATTATCTGTACGATGTCGATGATGTCATCATTATTTAAATTTCCTAATGCCCCGGTTGAATGCTGCATCACCTCATATTTTGTACAATAAAAATTGTTTGCTGTCGTTTGAATAGGCGGATAAATCGAGCCGATCACACGAGATTTTTTAGAATCAGTTATGATTATATTAACGACAGATGATTCCAAATTGGATGAATCACACGATAATTTTTCAATGAAACTATTTTTCATTTCAGTTCTAAATACTAATAAACAGGTATTTGAAAGATATTGCAATCATTTATTACATCATACCTTTCTCCGTCTTGAATTCCAATGCCATGTAGTAATTTATCATGATTATAAAAATTTGTATCATTCCAGCCTATTTGACGATACATAAAACTATCAAACTTTTTATTAATTGTTTGTAATGTCAATGGTGATCCGAATTGTATATAGGGACTTTGTTGGGACCAAAGAATGTTGCCAGTTAACCCATCTAAACATAATGTTATACTATAATTATATCTGTCCCATTCACCTATACACATAAAAAGAAAAACCGTAATTGTAATCATTTAATTTGTTCATTCAACATTAGAAATCATACCATAATTCATGATCAACATAAAATCATTGAATGTATCTCCATTATAGTCACCTGGAGCTGGTGTCGAATAAAACTCATATCCATCAAATGTTTTTGTCCATAGAGGCATCATTGTATGACCATTAATTAACATTAGAGTTCCATCAAATGATGAAACAAGAATATCATCAAAATTATCGTTATCAATATCTAATAGAACAGGCGGTACCATTACACCTTTACTCACCGATTCAAATAGAGCATAAGAACTATTTATCGTTGGAAAACGATTAAACAAATGACGGTTGAAATTTTCAACCGGATGTTGATAATTAAGAATCATCAGTTTAATTAGATCATGGACATAAATTGCATATAGAGCACCATTCACTGTTTCACCGCCTGTTCCAAATAAAATTATTGTTTGATTATAAAGAACTGGTGACATATATGTTTCTTTTCCATCTGGCATAAAATAAGGATTGCCTATTTGTTTTCCATTTAAACCTGATATCAATAATAAGTAACCTGAATCACGTATTTTCACATCGGATGAGATTGTTGGATTTCCTCCATGTGCTATTAAAATATCATTAATGTTATCACCATCAACATCAGATAAAATAATTGGATTATAAATATTCCATAATCGATTTAAAGATGGAATATAATCTTTTGAACTATGCCATAATATTAAACCCTGATATGGATCAAATGCCACTAGTGTGCCTTGTCTACCTGATGCCAGACAGTCCATTGATGTGTCATTATTAATATCAATTTGTCCACATTGTATTTCAAATATTGATTGTTTTACTTTTATCGTCCATAATGTCACAAGATCATAGCCACGAATTCCCATAATAATTCCTGAGCATGGTTCATCGACATGATAAAAATTACAAGTTGTTTTATTTTGTTTCGATTCAGTTTTTGATGAAATTTCTGTCACATCTGTTAGAGCTACAATAATATCATCGAGACCGTCTCTATTAATATCCACTAGACGAATACATGATTCACTGCCCATAAATGAAAACCAATGAGAATCAAATTTTTTCTCATTATTAGAAATCTTTTTTACTGTAGAAATAGACGATAAATTTTTTGACTTGAATTGTTCATGAAAAAGAATTAGATAAAAACATGCAACTAAAACGAATAGAATACTAAAGATTACGCAACACTGAATAAATTTTGAGATAACAATTCCATTTTTTTCGTTCGATGATGTAACAAAAAATTGTTGTTCCTCTGTATCATAATCAAGCAATACTTTTTCACTCAAATTTTCTCCTGTCGACATTTCCTTTATAGCTTTATTTTTTGAATTTCTTCCGATTACTTTATAAGAACAAATAACAATCCATATTGTAATTTTCTCAGTGTTAACGATATATATGAAAAGAAAGACGATAAAAATAACAGTGACTCAAAGGAATTAGAGATGCCATCTTACTTTACTATACCAACTGGTACCCACTGCACAGTGGGCATTCAGGCGGGAATTTGAACAAAAATCGATAAGTGAGCTTTTTTGAATTCGAACAGTAGTAAATGTAGTCCTTGAAAAGCGCTATTGAATGGTATATAATGATCGACTAGTAATGAACTCCTTCGATGAGTAAGTTAACTTACGAACATTCACAAAAAACACCGTCAAATATGACACATCTGCAAAGATTCTTATTTCTATGGATACTCCTTTTGCATCTTGTACGAAACGAAAAAAGGTCTAGTAGTCTAGATTACTACGGTCCGACATGAGACTACCTCAGTGCAGTGAAAGCGCTAAAAAGTGCTAAGCCTGAACAGACCTTCTAATTACATGAAAATGTTCCTCAGCCTATCGTGTATTTATGATGATCTCGCCTTTTCTCGTTTTTTTTCTAAGTCGAGTATTGATTTTACAAAACCCATAGGGTTTTCGAAGTAATTCGCGTTTTTCTCCCCCCCAAAAGAGCACTTTTTCCATAAAATAAAGTCATATTCGGAATCAGCGTGAAAAACTGCATCGAATGATGTATAGTTTATTAGTTTTAGAAACAAAACATTTTTTGACAAAAGTTCAGGGCAAGGGAATTTTTAAGGAATTTTTTGTCGAAAAACATTTTTTTCGAATTCAACGTTTTTTACTTCTATTAATATCTGACACATAGTAAGATCATATTATGCTAAAATAATCATTTTCTAACTCAAAAAAACCAGATGTTCGCCTGCTCTGTGGAAAAATGCCCACTGTGCACTGGACAACACAGACAAATGTCCAAATGACTCAAATTTTATTTTTCAGATATATTTAGATGGATTTTCTATCTCAAAAACGCGTTTAGACGCATCTGAAAAAATAAGATTTGGAAAAAAGAAAAAATTTATGCTCTCAAACGAGTCTAGACGTGTCAAATGATAAGTCATCTTTAGCAAAGAATTTTTACAAAGCTTTCTACTATTTATACTCACTTTTTTCCTATCAAACATAGCGTACAAATTTTTCTAAGATTTTTTCTCGTATCAGAGTTCTAGAGGACTTTAGAAGTTCATAATCATTAAAAAGGAGACTTTGAGTGAATCTTGAGAGCTGACCGTCCTCTACTTTTAATTTTCTTTTTAAATTTTCGTTTTTGAAACATCTATAGACGTATTTCTCATGATCAAGATATATCTTGATCCCCTAGTGAATGTACTTGCATGCAGGTACTTGGTCAAGTACCCTCGCAAGTTTTGTCCAACGTCCTTGCGCTTTTTTGCAAGTAAACCAAGTACTTGTCAAGAATATCAGGTACTTGAATTACTTTATCTTCTTGTCAAGTCATTTGCTACGCACTTGCCCAAGTACCTATGAAAGGTTCAACAAGTAAATCAAGCACCTGGCAAGTGCTTTCAGGTATTTATCGAGTAGTATTTTTTGAAAATATCTGTCAAGTGCTTTTCAAATACCCGTGGAAATTTGCAAGTAAACAAGTACCCACTCCCAAGTATATTCACTAGGATAGATATCCCACTCGGACGCGTTTTTTATCCCTTTTTTATCTCGAGTAAAAGACCAGAGGCATGTGATACAGTGGCCAAAAAATTTTTTAGAAGCAGACGTTGATGAACATACTAAACATTAGAAAATGGGAAACATCTCGATCTTGAGAGTTGCATCTGAATGAATTTTTTCCTTTTTTGAAAAAAACTCCGCTAAGCGGATCTATTGCTCAAATTCTTTGTTGAGATTGATCTTAGAGCTCTAAAATGCCACAATTTTCCACCTATCCTTTTTTTTCTTACATTGTACAAAGCGCGATTTTTGCACGATATTGTACAGAATTGAATGCGGAATCTGTAAAAAGCTTAATGCTAGGCTCGACATTTGTATTTAAGAAAATATGCAAAGACTCATTTATTCTGGATCGCCCGCTATACATCAGAATAAAAGCTTCACTCGAAAATGTTAAGTTTTTATATTGCGCAATGATAGATGTTTAATGACTTTGGATGCCTCACTTCTTCGGATAACGTCGTTTTTCTTATCAATTTAGATGAAAGATTTTTGGATTTTATAATTTCAACGAGTTTGTTGTCTTCATGAAGCCTTTAGAAAATAAAGTTTTTTGATTTATACTTGTATAAAAAGAAGAATTTTTTTCACAGATACCTGCTGTGGGAGACCAATAAGGACGGATAAAAACTATTGGAAATATAAATTATCGACTAAGCTGAATCTCGTGGCAATGTTTTTTCAACGGTTTACTAACTTTTTTCCATCAAAAAAGAAATATAAACAGACGAACTAGTAAAAGAATTTGATATTCAAATTGTTTGTTTATCTATAAAATAGTGTGTTTTGTCGCTCATCGAACTCGGATAGTCTAACGTGAAAACATTTGTTGATTTTAATTTTTAATGGAAAATAAATTGTTGAACCGTTCAAAAAACATTGCCACGAGATTCAGCGTAATCAATAATTTATACTTCCAATAGGTTTTACTTTTATCCGATCTTATTGGTCCCCGAGAGCAGATATCTCAGAAAAACATCATCAAGTCCGAATTATGGTAGATGAAGATCTGAGACTTATGCATGCGTAAAGAGACGATGTTACCCATTTTTAGGATGGGAACCTTGCCAAAATCGATGAGGAACATCGTAGTAAATCACATACCTAAACCTGATTCTCACATTCGTTTGTAGCTGAAAGTGTTCTTAATACATTGCTGTGTATCTTTTGTCATTTAAACATTATTGAAAAAACAGTCAAGTACCCATTCTTTTTTTTTAATAAGTATACTGTAAGTTAAAGTTTTGTTAAGTAGAGTTTTCTTTTTAAATAATCTTGACATGTTTCTAATTTAAATCTCAATAAATTTGTTTTCATTTTATTTCTTTTTTTTAGGAAGCCCTTGTAGTTTACTTCAAAATGGAACAGAGCAATGCTGTTTGTCTTTAACGATAAGAAATAGCATGCAACACAGCGTTTCATTCAACTAAGACAAGAATTATTTTCTACTCAACAATAAAAAATAATCTTAGAAATTAAATAATTATTTTATTTGTCATATTGAAATGTCAAAAGTGGAACCAGCCTATGTTCATACACTTCCACGTAAGCCATCTATAATTAACATAGCTATCAACAAAAATCTCATAGTGAACAACGTAGAATTTCTAGACAGCAAAGTCAAACTTTAATGGAAGTTTGATCAATATAGCGCTATTTAATAATTGCTATTTTTTAGCACAACCAGTGATGGTTTCTGGATGGGCACCACCGTTGCTATTTGGCGAATATCCACAACAATGTACTTGTATTAATTGTCGACAGAACATTGTTACACGAGTTGAAAAATCTGTTGGTTGTCAAACATGGCTCATATGTGGTCTTCTTATATTTATTGGATTCTTTTTTCCACCAATATGGCTTGGATTTTGCTTCATACCATTTTGTTGTAATTCAACAAAAGATACTCAACATTATTGTCCAGCATGTGCCACTTTACTTGGTGCTCACAAAAAATAAATATGGTCTAATAAATATGGATGTTAAAATATTACACACTTAAAGACACACTTTACAGACTTAAAAAATAGTCAACTAATAACCAATGATCAAGAAATATTGAGTCTCTCAATATTTTGCTTATAACATTTTCATCTTTTATTTTAGAAATATAATTTTTCTTTTAAAAGATGGATCATTTGATTCTCTAAAAACCATATATTGAACATATTTTTTATATACTTTAAAAATACAAAAAATATGGAGAAAACATTGCAAAGTTTCTATCTGTATTATTTTCCAACCGAAAAAACACTGTTTTCAATATTATTCAGTTTTATTCTATGATACGAAAGATGAAAAGACGTCCATTTTCTAGCGCAGCAAAAGCTCTATCAACTGGTTAAATTTAAAACTCTTTATGATCACAGGCGATTGGGAAAGAATTTTTTTTCTTTTTTCGATTTTTTTAGAATTTATTATTTTCAAACTGCAGTTTTGCAGCACTTAGAAATTTTTTTATAGTTCAGCCAAAATCAAACATTTTGAGGTTGAGTTTGTTTTATTTTAAAGTAAAATACATCTTCTATTACTTCTGAATAAAAACAGTCCAATAATTTCATTTCTTTTTCTCTGCAAAAAAGAGAAAAGCTAAAGGACGAGGCCGATTATTTGATGAAATCGGTTCATCCCTGAATTTCATCGACTAATCAAAGACTGGATGTAGAATGAAGAGAGGAATATTTCTAAGTAGTAGTTACTCGACATTAGAACCACTCTCAGAAAAAAATTGTTCAAATTAAATTTGATTAAGTTTCAACTGCATCTGATATATATTACAGATCGTAGTTTTGGATCTTTCTCTCTCAGTTTCACAATTTCTCATGACTATTATATATCATTCGAAAACTCTTTTTCCTCGCTATATTTCTGTATATACATATAAATAAATAGTCGTTCTAAGGTCAAGTATGTTTAAAAATACTTCTGGCTATGATGATATGCTATGTGCAAAAAGTCTCAGATATTCTATGTCAACATTTCTCATTCGGCCACTAGAATAGATACACCGTTCGATAGAGAATTTGTTGAGCTACAATTTGATATATATAATATAGAGAAAAAAGTGTCTCAGGACACCTTGACATTAGAAATGTTTCTGCAAAGCCAGAATTTGGCTCGTAAATCACAATTTTCTCCATCAAAACTCAACTTCAATGTAATAAAAACATCATACTCTGAATCAGGATAAAAAGCCGAGTGTATTGTGGATTTCTATCCTATCCGACTACTTTAGTTTGTGTCGACTTTTCACGTTAAAAAATTAACGACATTTATCCATTTATCCGTCCATATCCACCTAATATACTCACACATAAACAAGTAGACTTTGAACAGACAACAGAAAGATAGAGATGTTATCTGCTAGGCCATGGGACCTAAGAGAAAATTCAGTAAAAAATTCACTGCATTGAAAAGGATTTCCGACGTAAAGCCCAAATTTTTATCTTTCTCTCATAGTAATGAAACAGTGAAGAACAACATAACCAATGATAGAAATTTTTGATATTTAGTCTTATTGCTTAAAAATACTATAGCTATTGGACAAGAGGCAGTTATTTTCAGAAGACAAGGCATATCTCGTTCAAAAAACATTTTTTGGACTTGAAATTTTCAGAAAACAGTTTCTAATATTTCTAAATTATTTACGTAAAATGTTGAGATCAATTAGTAAATGTGACTAGACGATATCGGTTAAGAAACTAACAGTCGTTCTTCAATGAGTAGTTGCTATTTTTGTTACGAGAATTAGAGGACATTTTTAGTAAAGTTTGGTTACTTGATATCCCGTAGTTATTGATACACACAGCCTAGGTGCATGCGAAATAGATTTTGACAACAATTGCGTAGCCTACGATAATGAACAGAATAAATTTAGGAGAGAATTATTATGTCGATAGACATTTTGGATTTGTTCAGGAATTTCTTTTTTCTTGTTTAGTCATTGTTTTTGCAAAAAGTGAGTTGTATGATCTGGAGAACTACATAACGTAGAGACATTCTGAAACGGGATATAGTTCTCTGGGTATTTAATGTGGACCATTCCACGTTCTATTTTTAAACAACCGTCCAGATTCGGTGAGATGAGTACCACAATGGAAGAAAAAAGTGTCTTGGACTTCGAACTTTTTAATTATTATTAGTTGTCCGGCGCTATATTTGTTTTTATTTGTAGACAAAATTGAGAAATGAATCTGTGTACATATCTTCTAACTAGCGAATTTCTGTTTCCATGCATCTAATAAAAGGTATACTAAGTGATTACCAGTGCTTTAAGACATAGAAGACACACCAAAGAATGATTTTAAAAGTTTATTCATTGATTGTTGAAACGCTTTAGAATAATCACAAAAAGAAGAAAAAAGGACCGATAATTACTCCGCTGAAATAATATTTACTGCTTCTTATCTTTTATGTATTTTCTGAAAGGATGGTTTACTCTGGTGTTATGTTATCTAAGCACATAGCCTCAAAAGTGTGCTGGTTTTCTTGCTGATTGATACTGTGAAAAGTTA